CTCCAACCACCATCACTGCAGCTACACCAACAGCCCCCGCAGACTCTCACCCTCAGTCCGCACCAGTACAGGTTGCTCCTCTCAGTAAGAAAAAGAAACCAACCAAATGCCCAAAGACAACTCAGGGAGGGGATGCCTCTCAAGCAGAATCAGGGGCAGAGTCAAAAACAAGATGCAAAGCCTGACCCCTCTGCCATGGAAAAGAAATACCTAACAAAAACAGATCCTGCTGTGGTCAGATGATGACAGAGTGGGTCCTTCAACCACTCGCCAAAATTCGGATGATCAAAAAGCAAGTACTTTCAGAATAAACCCATCTGATGGGGATTCATCAGATGCTGATGTCACCACTAAACCTCTGGCTATGAAGGAGCTGAGAATGTGAGAAAGGACTTTAGTCGTGAAAAGGTAACCACTCACCACCTGGCTGCTTCAATGCTGGGATAATGGGGCCAATGGCATCTACCTGGATGGTAAGGAAGCCAGGCAGTTAGGATCCCTGTCCAAAGATGAAGGCATTGATCAGGCATTTATGAGAAAGCATCACACTGTCAGCCTCTGGGGGCGACTCCTGTCAGCTGTAAAGACCAGGTATCCCTTCAGGGATGATATCGAATGCCGCCCACCCAAATGGACCTCCATGGGAAAAGGAATTAACTACCTGAGGGAGTTAGCTGTGCAGCAGGTCATTTATGGTGATAGGCAGATTGTAGACCCTGATGCAATGCCATGCCAGCAACCCATGCTGAGATGTTTGTGCAGAGTGCACCATCAATGTATGCCCACTTACTGTCAACAATGTTGTGGGGGCAAGATGGTGAGGAACCAACAGTGACTGAAGTGGCTGCCAGGGGTCAGCAGCGGTCCCATTCGGGCTTGTGTGTCGGCCCTGGAGAAATCACTCAAGAAATCATTTGAAAAGCTGCTTGAAAAACTAGACAGGAGGGAGAATAGATCCTACTCTTCTCCTGAATGGGCCCATGTTGAAGCCACTAGGAGGAGATGATCTCCTGTGAGACCAGCTAGACAGGAGCAGGACATGTCACAATGTACCCTGTGGTCCCTCCTGTGTAGGTTTGGAGAGCAGATGAGCAGATGGGATGGAAAACCTACCTCTGCCCTATGATCACGAGTGCTCTACTTAAAAGGTAAACCAAACAGGAGAGAAATGTCCTCAGAAGGGAGGCTGCTCCAGTCCGCTACTGGCAATTCTCTGGTCCAAACACATCTGCCTCATTTTTCAACAAGAGCAGGCCAAATGACAGTGCCATGTATGACATCTGCACAAACCCTGTGAACTATGTAAACTCTGTGAACCCGGTTAACAGCACAAACCCATTTCTGAATAGGGGGTACTACCCTCGGAATTAGAGGGGCCCTGCCTCCAGCCGGGTGGAGGAGAGGGACAAGTTTATTGGAGTGTGTGAATTCGATGTCCTGGCACGTCTGAACCACAGAAGTCCAGAGCCCTGGTGGACACTGGCACACAGTGCACCCTACTGCCATCGAATCATAGAGGGACAGAGTCCGTCACTATCACTGGAGCGATGGGAGGATCTCAAGAACTGACTGTGGTAGAGGCTGAAATGAGCCTAACCAGGAATAAGTGGGAAGAGTACCCTGTAGTGACTGGTCCAGATGCCCTGTGCATCCTTGGCATGGACTTCCTCAGGAAAGGGTATTATAAAGACCCAAAAGGATATTGATGGGTCTTTGGCATAGCAGCTGTAGAAACTGAGGACATTAAACAGCTGGCTACTGTGCCTGGACTTTCAGAGTTGTCTGCTGCTGTGGGGCAGATTAAAGATCAAAAGGTGCCAGTTGCTACTAAAACGGTGCATCAATGACAATATCATACTAACAGAGACTCTGTAGCTCCTATCCAGAAGTTGATTCGTCAACTAGAGGGTCAAGGGGTGTTTAGCAAAATTCACCCTTTAACAGTCCCATATGGCCAGTGTAAAAGCCCAATGGGGAATGGAGACTGACTGGGGACTATCATGGCCTGAACAAAGTCACACCAGCAATGAGAACTGCCGTGCCAGGCATTCTAGAACTCCAGTATGAGCTGGAGTCAAAGGCAGCTAAGTGGTATGCTACCATTGACATTACTAATACTTTCTTCCCTATTCCTATAGCACCAGAGTGTAGGCCACAGTTTGCTTTCACCTGGGGAGGTGTCCAGTATACATGGAATTGACTGCCCCAGGGGTGGAAACAGCCGTACAATTTGCCATGGCCTGATCCATACTGCACTGGAGAAAGGTGGAGCTCCAGAACACCTGCAATACATTGATGACATCACTGTGTGGGGCAATACTGTAGAAGAAATACTTCGAGAAAGGTAAGAAAATAACTGGAATTCTTTCAGACGCTGCATTTGCCATCAAAAGAAGCAAGGTCGCGGGACCTGCATGAGAGATCCAGTTTTTGGGAATTAAATGGCATGATGGGCATGGCCAGATCCCAATGGACATTGTTAACAAAATAACAGCTATGACCCCACCAGCTAACAAAAAGGAAACACAAGCCTTCCTAGGCACTGTGGGTTTCTGGAGAATGCATATTCCTGGTTACAGTCAGATTGTAAAACCCCTCTATGATGTGACCCAGAAGAAAAATAATCTCAGCTAGGGTCCTGAATAAAAATAAGCCTTTGAACAGATCAAACAAGAGATGGTACATGCAGTAGCCCTTGGGCCAGTCCGAACAGGACAGGACATTAAAAATGTGCTCTACACTGCAGCCAGGAGTAATGGTCCTACCTGGAGCCTCTGGCAGAAAGCACCAGGGGAGACTCGAGGCTGACCCCTAGGATTTTGCAGCTGAGCATACAAAGTCTCTGAGGCCAACTATACTCCAACTGAAAAAGAAATCTTGGCAGCATATAAAGGAGTTTGAGCTGCTTCAGAAGTGATTGGCACTGAAGCACAGCTCCTCCTGGCGCCGCGATTACCAGCACTAGGCTGGATGTTCAAGGGCAGGTTCCCTTCCACTCATCATGTCACCGATGCTACCGGGAGTAAATGGCTTGCTTTAATCACAGAGAGAGCTCGAGTAGGGCATCCCAATTGCCCAGGAATCTTAGAATTGACTATGGATTGGCCAGAAGGTAAAGACTTTGGAATGCCACCAGAAGAGGAAGTGACACGTGCTGAAGAAGCCCATCAGACCATGACAAGCAGTATGCTCTGTTTACTGATGGATCTTGCCGTCTTGTAGGAGCTCACCAGAAGTGGAAAGCTGCTGTGTGGAGTCTCCCATGACAAGCTGCAGAACCAGCTGAAGGGGAGTGTTACTCAAGTCGGTTTGCAGAGGTAAAAGCCATCCAGCTAGACCTGGACATTGTTGA